CTTATGTGGACCAGGAAACCCGCCACTCTGCTCCATCTTATGGTCTCCATGCTGTGCCTGCTAGTGCTTCTGCTTCCTCTACCACATGTCCACACAGGAATCTTGGACACACTCACTTCACTCATGGCTGATCATGAAGTTCTCTTCCTGCATTGGAGATGGCTCACTTGATGCCCAGCAGAATGGCAAAGCTGTCTAATACTCTGTGCCTCATTTGCCTGATCTCACCCAATCATTTGGTAGTACAGTGTTAGCATGTTTATCAAACTCAATTAATTCCAAAGTCGTATTCAAACACCAAAAAGTTCAAGAGCTTTCCCCCCTAAGAAATAATAGAAAACCGAATACTTGGTTCAGAGGCCCTAAAATGACACTTAAAAATTCATTTTCCCAGGACTTTAACAGAAACTTAACAGCCTTAGGTTGTGGAAATACCTCCTAAACCATCTAAACACAATAAATACAGTGCATTAAATATCAAAACACAATACAGTGAAAATAAGATATCATATTGCGAATAAAGTACAAAAAAGAAAGCACAAGGACGAATGTTTTAATGCACTAACATGAGCTCTCTCTGTTGTCCGAGCCAGAGCAGGGCCCCAGCAAGATGGGATGGGTGACTCACTTTCAGCCCCTACAGAAATTTTCTCAAGTCGGATTTTCAGTTTGACTATCAAGCAAAGTTAGGAACACCTAGGAGATTTTTTGTTTTTAACTGCTGTTCAAGTAGTGGAAAGTTCGAGCTTGGAGCTGTTCAACAGCTGAAGTATCACTGTAGTTATTTAATAAGACCATGGATAGAGAGAGCTGTGTTAGGACAGGTTTGACTAGAGAAACAAATCCAGTGGCACTCATATATGTATAAGAAAGAGCTTTATATCAAGAAGCAATTGTATATCAAAAAGGTATCCTAGCCCAGTCCAACCCAAGTCCGTGAGTCCAATACTAATCCATAACTTCCTCTTCAGACTCACGTAGCCACATTTAGTGGCACAAATTGCGGGAAGATCCCAAGCCGGTGGGTGCAGAGCTTTGTGGATCCAAGGTTAGTGGAAACATGGCAGGGCACCAGTACCTCTGAGGGTGGGCATGCAGAAATGTGAGGGTCGGAAAGGGAAAGCAGTTCCCAGTGTCTCACACTCTCATACCAAAAGGCTTATGCCATCAAGGAGGTATCATCAGGCTGAGACTTGATTGACAGGTTTGTTTCCACCCCTATAGCCAGGAGTGTCTAGTTGACATAGAATTACCCAACTACCACAAAAGCCAAACCAAGTCATTTCACTTCACCATGCAGTGTCATGCAGTAACTTTCATGTTTAACCTTTTAAGAACATCTACTAAATATTGATAGATGATAATAAATTATCTTTGAAAAGTTGCTTTACTAACTTGTAAGGTATGTAGGTATATAGTGGTGTAGAGTTTTTCTTGCTTATCTTCATTCTGTCCAAGACTCAGAATTATTCAACTCTCATATTTTGTCAGCCCATTTTTTAGTAGTAAGTTCTCCTG